CATCTCTCTTCGGGAACTTGCTGCCGGATTGTAAACCCATTGCAACCAAATCACGCCGCCACACTCCTGATGACGAGAAATTTACTCGATCAGAAGTTCGTCGTCTTCTTAAGGAGGGCATCATTGAGACTTCAACTTCACCCTGGCGAGCACAAGTCCTTGTAACCACAAATGAACGATAAAAGAGACGCATGGTAGTCGACTATAGTCAAATTATCAACCGCTACACGCTGTCGGACGCTTATCCACTGCCGCGAATAGACGAAATGGTGTCTAAAATATCACGATACGCTGTCTTCAGTGCCTTGAATTTACGAAGTGTATACCACCAAATCGCAATAGAAGCAAAAGCTCGGCCATCCACTGCCTTTGAAGCATGCGGTAGGCTGTATCAATTCTGTCGATTACCTTTTGGAATGACTAATGGTGTCGTTTGCTTCCAGATGGCAATTGATAAACTCATTCAGGAGGAAAACCTGTTGGGCACCTTCGCCTACATCGACAACATAACAGTATGCGGACTGAACAAAGAAGATCACGACAAAAATCTATCGAATTTTTTCAACGCTGTTAGAAAATAAGGGCTTACTCAAAACGAAGAAAAGTGTACCACTGGTAATAAAGAAGTAAAACCCCTGGGTTACGAAGTCTCTCACGGTTTGATGAAACCGAACCCTGAACGATTGAAGCCACTCCGAGAACTTCCACCTCCCAAAGACCTCAAATAGCAACGCCGGGCAATCGGTTTATTTTCATATTACTCCCACTGGATTCCTCGATTGTCGGACAAGATACATTCCTTGGTACATAATAACACATTTCCCCTACCACAGGACGTCAGAAACTCTCAAAAGCGAACTAGAATACACAGTCGTCACCACCATCGACCCGAAGATACCACTAGTCGTGGAAACAGACGCCTCAGACGTAGCTATTTCGGCTACTCTCTCGAAGAANACACAGTCGTCACCACCATCGACCCGAAGATACCACTAGTCGTGGAAACAGACGCCTCAGACGTAGCTATTTCGGTTACCCTCTCGCAGAACCGTAGGCCGGTTGCCTTCTTTTCTAGAACGTTATCTTCAAGTGAACGGCATCATTCCTCTGTAAAGAAAGAGGCCAACGCCATCGTCGAATCTATTCGGAAGTGGCGACACTATTTGCTTGGCACGCACTTCAGATTGATCACAGATCAAAAATCGATTGCCTTTATGTTCGATTCGAGACACCACGGTAAAATCAAAAATGATGAAATGCTGAGGTGGAGAATCGAACTATCATACTACAACTTCGATGTTATTTACCGCCTTGGACACGAAAACGTGGCGGTTGACGCATTGTCTCGTAGCTGCTGCNGCAGCTACATCAATCACTGTGTCATCCCGGAGTCGTGCGAATGCTCCATTTAGTTCGAACTAAAAATCTCCTTACTCTGTCAATGAAGTTAAATTAGTCATCGGCGGCTGCTCTATCTGTGCTAGGTGGAAACCACAGTTCTGTAAATTTCCTACAGGAAATTTAATCAAAGCCACTGCGCCGTTTGAGAGGATAAACATTGACTTTGAAGGTCCGCTTCCGTCAGAATCTCGAAACTGAAACTTGTTGACGATCGTGGGCGACTACCCTCGATTTCCGTTTGCCTACGCCTGCACTGGCCTATCAGCTGCTACAGTCATCCGATGTCTCACCAATTTATTCTCGATCTTTGGTATATCTTCCTACATACATTCTGATAGGGGTTCGTCCTTCATGTCCGAGGAGCTTAAGAATTTCCTTCACAACAATAGTATAGTCTCCAGCATGAAGGACAGCCTACAACCCTCGCTCAAACGGACAAGTTGAGACTAAACGGGACCCTTTGGAAGACTATCGTTCTCGCAGCGCAATCCATGGGTCTGCCATGTACTCAGTGAGAATCTGTTCTTCCGGAAGCTCTCCATTTTATTTGATCACTACTGTGTACAGCCACCAATGGGACCCCACACGATCGATTGTTTTCTTATCATCGCAAATCTGCATCAGGAGTCTCTATACCAACCTGGTTGAGTATTCCTGGACCTATCTTAATGCGTCGATCCATAAGATTAACAAAAAACGACCCCCTAGTGGACGAAGTTGAGTTACTCGAATGTAATCCCAAGTACGCCCATATCCATCTCCCAAATGGGCGAGAAGATACTGTATCAATACACCACCTGGCCCCCAGAGGTCAAGTTTCTGAGTTACCAACGGCTATATACTCAGAACCCAACGAATCCGCAATCCCCGAACGCAATTCTCAACCCCCTCCTTAAATAGAGAGTAACAATTCCGATGGGAGAACAACCACGAGCGTTTCCCCACCCCTCGTTCAAAACACAGATACACACAATACAGAACCCGAGATACATCCATTAGTAAAAGCACAACAACGCACTGACCCCCTATAATTTGAGAAATCGGGGAGCAAAGAACATTTTTCACATACAAAAATTCCGACGAAAACTGTCTGCGGAGGTGAATGTTGTTACACTCTTGTTTGTCGTTTTACAGTACTTTGTATTTCGCCTCTCTAAATTTTTCCCTCATTCCTTTTCAGCCCCTGGCGTCCCTTTGTATGCTGAATAAAGTCTAGATATCGGGCCTTTGTCTTCTCCCTGTTCAACGGCTGTTACGATCGTCTCTCACATCATGGATGCACACAGAAGTCGAAGAGTTCATCGTTGCTGGCGTTGTGGACTATTGTACTACTCGGTCGCCCGGTCCAGAGTAGGCCTTGTTCGAGGGTGCACTTTAGCCTCTGCGCAACTATGTTAAACGACTACCGATTCTTATCAGGGCAAAGATTCAGCACTTGAGTTGGATTTATGTTGAGACTATTATGAGCAACCAGAACTGTCCTGAGACGTAATCGGCGTTGAAGCAACTCTGTGATACACGTGGGAGCTCCTGTCCTCACGCAGATAACTCTCCAATTCTTTACCGTCCACTTTCAAATCCCCAGAAAGTATTAACCCGATCGAGATTCTTAAAGTTTTGAAGCAACGTAAGTTTAACGAGGTCAAAGGACCAAACTCATTAGCACCCATTTTATTGAAAACCTGTGCGGAACACCTTACAACACCCCTTGCCCAGTTGTTTAATTTGTGTATATCCCAGAAAGCTGGAGAGCTGCCCGGATGAGATTCATTCACAAGAAGGATTCTTTAAAGCATCGACCGGTTGGTCGTACCATGACCCTGTTGAAATTCTTTGAAAGAGTGCTGTCGAAGCGGATGACTACCCTCCCTCATGTTCTCCATCCTCTTTAGCTTGATTGTAAACATTGGGTCGATGGATTCGCAGGGCTTATGAGACCTAACCAAGTCGAAACAGCTGTCCAGAGCTTCTTAACTCTTCAGCTCACGCCTCATTTACACGACGAATTCATCATCTATAAACATTCCCATTTGACTGTTCACGCCTTCCGTTGTTGTTCATTCTGTGGCCTCAGTTTTAGATCAGTGTTGGAACTGTTCGCCTTATTTTTTTTATCATGCGAACACCTTTGGTTCGCTTGATCGTCGCATTCTTATTCAACACCTTGTTGACTGCGGCTCAGAAGCCGACGTTCTTGTAAAGGATGTATTTTGCTTCATGCAATGATAAAACTTCGTCCTTTTCTTACATTAACTTTGAAGTCTTTCAGGCCGCCATTTTGTCTCCATTGCTTCTTCTCAGCGCATAAGTAACCTGCCTGTCCTTATCAACTTTATTGCCTGTAAGTATGCCGTCCATGTGGTGAGTGGACGCCCTTCCGATAACGATATATATATTTTCACCAACTTAAAGACAGTTTGAATGACGCTTTTAGTAGTTGGTCCTCGCCCCAATCTCTTACTGTTTCCAAATGTATTGATGTTCCCTTCAACCCGGCTCCCGTTATCAAACGACTGATAATGATTTACCCCAACTCCTCATTAACAGTCACAGCATTCCAAATCTGACTCAGTTAAATACCTCCGCGTCGTTCTATGCCACAATCTCTCTTGAACTAACCATGTGGAGAATGTTTACAATAGGGTTTGTAAATTTGTTTTATTTTCAGGCTTAAGAAGCTTGCTAGCGCTCCAAATGTGATTCTCAAATTGTTGGTCGCATGCATCGTTCCCCATTGGGTGCACTGTTCCCCGGTCTGATAGAAAAAGATTTCCTATTAATCTCCATATCCATAAAACTATCGTCCAGATGTAGTGGCATAGCCAGAAATTTCATAGTTGATTTTATTGTGTCCAAGCACATGGACACATGTGAAAGAATAGCTGACAGAATCTAGGACAACGAAGACCATTGATTGAACAACGAAATTCTCAACTCTGTGTCAAATCTCCGTAGCCACACCCATTATGAACTACTTTCTTGCACGCATCGCCACATACAGAAACAACTACCTCTTGACGGTTTTTAGTGAACCGGGCACCAATTACTACAGGTCTGGTGGAAGATCTCATGAGATAGTCTATTTAGTTGTTAAACCGTTACTATCGTCTTCTTGTTTCCAGTGCGATGTCGCTTTTGTATTATATCCTTTACAATGTTTTGCGTTTTGTTCAACTTTTCCACTGTATCTGCGTCAAAACAGCTGAAAATTCACCCTTTGGATGCAAAAAGTTGAGTTTGACACAAACTGACTTGATCTTGAGATCCCCATCTAGGTAGCCTAACACAACCCACCGCATTCGTGCAGTGCTGCTTTGACAGCAGTGTTCGAACAGCGACAATCTATCTCTATCCTTTTTTCGTAATGGCCAAGATTCCGCACCGTAGGGTAGGAGTGGTCGAACTGCTGCAGTATAAACTCAACCCGTCACGAACAGCCGGATGTCACGGCAGCACCCTAGATGCCTTCAGTTTTGCAAATGCCAATCATTCCTTTTGTATGCGAGCTGACACTTTATTCGTGATCCATTCAGCGGGTTAGATACAGCTAACCAAACAACAAAAATGGCCCACTTGCTCTATTACTCTCTCATTTAGAGTTAGGTTGGGTACTGGACCAACACAGTTTGGTAGTAACATGTTGCACCTTGGGAAGGGGGTGCGAAACGCATACTGAACATGGCTACACCAGCGCTCAACCTATCCAGAAAACCTTGCAACTTACCTGGATCTTCACTTGACAATACGATTTCATCTGCATACTCCAGATCAGACAGTCTACAACCAGAAAGCCATTATCCCCGCACGAGGATACGGCTGTCTCCATAATCAAATCTATAACAAAGTTAAATAGAAAAGGAGAGAAAGAGAAGGCAATCCTGGCGAACACCACTTTCAGTAATGAACTCGGGCGAGTGATTGTGGTTACATGCACATATCATATCCCGAGAAGATAAATTTCGTCGAATACGAAGCCTTGGTAGGCTACATTATCAGGGCATTGAGAACTGAGAATAAGAGAAAATCAGAGATCTTCAATCAATGGTGTCCCAGATACATCTAGAGAGCAAACTGGCGAGATAGAAACCTGAACGAGTCCATTAGAAACCCACACCGCATCGTCCATTACACTGGTCTGGACAAGTGCCCCGCAACCTAGCCACGTTTTGGCAAACATTGTACTATTTTCGTCTTTTTGCCCAGGCCAGCGCTGCCGACAAGGGAGGAGGTAAATAAGAACCTAGCCCGACAGTGCATTCGAAAACGTTAACCAACTTGGTCCTGTAACGGTGTACGGTCCTCATAGGCAGGAAACCAAGTAGATTAAGATCTGAAAGGAGCTTGCCTCTAATCACCGAGTATGGACAAATGCGATTACAGACACTCATACAACCACTTTATCCTCTTCAAGGAGCCAGCTGCAGTTCAGTAAATTATGCGCGTGCGACCACATCTTGTAGTCCATCAAGTCTCCCTAAATCTACTCCGACGATAGACAGAAATGCATAAAAGGTTCCTATTACGCTGACCAAACAGAAGTGAGGGCTATCATGGAAAAGGAGAAATCAAAAAGCGATGCAATTTGAAAGATATTTAAAAAACATTAGAACTCACCCGCAGCCGCTAGGACACCAGCGAACATCCGGCTCACGGGATAAGGCTTTCCGAAGAAGAAACTCCTCGTACCGAGAAAGCATCCGGACGCAATGCGCGTAGCTAAATGGAGGATCACTTTCATTTCCAACAGCACCGTAGGAGTCTGGATCCTTGATAGCTGTCGTCAACATCTGAATGACAGTAGCCGCTGGTAAGGGATTTTTGCATCCGATACAGGTGAGTCGGGACATTGCAAAACTATCGATTTCTGTGCAGAGAAATGTGAGCCAGCAAAGCGTGCAAGCCATGTGTGAACAACTTGAGTAGCGCAGGAGTACCGTATTCGGTTGCAAGCACACAGGACATTCTCCATCGTGATCTGTACATGGGGACAGGGCGCCACGAACTGTGTTTTCCCCGTTCAACGTCCGTGCCGCTGTGAATAAGAAGACGAGTAAACAGTTCGTTGGAAATGATTTCAGTATGGTCGTTAACTGAAATATCCGCAGATATTTCGAATACCTGTGTCCAAAGAGTGATAGAGGCAATTTTTATTACACAATGTGAATTACTGTAAACGGGGAAATCCCCATGGACAAATAGCATACTGTAAATGAGAGAGTATGGGGAACATTCACGTAAGATCCGGTTTATTGATACCGCGTTTAAAGTGTAAGATTGTAAGTTGGGGAAAAACAACAAGGGGGAGGGTTTTCTANGGGGGGAGATTGGAGACAGTACGACATCTGGGAACAGAAACCTGATAAGGATGACTAGGTGCAGTGACCAACCAAATCCCATTCTACATGTACCCTTCCTCCTGTGTATCTCATTGTTTTATCACATCAAGGCCACCTCTTTGGTCAGCACCTGTTTGCTTTCACTTTCCGCACGCGTGCTTGCGCTTTCATATCTCTCTATTGCTCTGCCGGTCGTAACAATACAACCCATCCTCCGTTTCGTGAATCGTCTCGTTCTGTTTTCGCACGAACGTCCGTTTGCGACTTATACGTATTAGATCGGGATATCGATAAGCTAGGGTCCACATAGGTGCCTGTGCACGGGATGGGCGAGTAAAAGTTGCAGGAATAGGAACTGCCGAAGCAAGTTCCGAAGAACAAAAACCAAAGCAGNNNNGAACAGGGACAATGAAGCACACTGCCCGACGGTGGGCTAGCGACTGTAGACTGGATGTTAGTGAAAGATCATCAATTAGCTGGATGGCCTTTCGTTGAACACGATCAAGAAGGGAAAGGAAAGAAGACGAGGCCCCACCTCACACGTGACTACAGTATTCAAGAGCAGGGCGGATTTGAGCTTTGTATAATAGAACATGAGCTGGGGTGAAAAACGTCTGGCGCGAAATAGAAATCCAACCTTGCGCGCAGCACAAGCAAGGTTGGTTATAAAAGGGGACCAGCATAAAAAGAAGTTACAGGCAATCCAAGAAGGGAAACAGAGTCTGTGGAACGCAGTTGGGTGGAATCAAAAGATAAATGAAGAGAGAATGAATGTTTTAAAGAAATTGAAAGGAGAAAGGTTTTAGAACTATTCAACGAAACTTGATTTGCAATTCTCCATGAGCAGATGTGTTTGAGATCGGAGTGCAGTGACACATTAACTACGGCCACCATCGATGTTGGTTTGGGCATGGCGAGCAGTGTGATAGGAGAGGGAGCAGTGGAGAGTGGCGTCATCAGCAAAATAATGGATAGGGTTGGCAGTTTGGGAAAGATCATTGGTAAATAAAAGGAAAAGGGCGGGCGCAAGTACTGAAACTTGGGAAACACCAGCGTTCACAGGGAATGGTTGAGATAGAAAACCATCAACTCGGACGGAGATGGTTCGCTTACTGAGGAAACTTGACATCCACGCTACTAGCGTTGGAGGGAACCCAAATATGGGTAGTTGCACCAGTAGACCTTCGTACCAAACACGGTCGAAGGCTTTTGAGATGTCAAGCGAGACCAAGTGTGTTTCCCCATGGTTATCGAGTGGAGCTGACCAGGATTGTGAAACAAGAGCCAGAAGCTCACCGGTGGAGCGACGTGGCCGAAAGCCATACTGCAGGTCGCTCAGTAATCCTTCACGTTCAAGGAACGTACGTAGCTGGTCAGAAATGATAGCTTCAAATACTTTCGAAAGAACAGATGTGACGGAAATGGGTTGGTAATTGTTGGGGTTAGAAAGGTCGCCGCGTTTTGGAATGGGAAAAATCAGGGCGTACTTCCAGGGGGTTGGAAAGGAAGAAAGTTGCGGGGAAAGACTGAAAAGACAACGTAAAACAGGAGCTAGCTCGGAAGCACACATTTTGAGGACGATGGGTGGAATACCGTCAGGACCAGGTGGTTTGTTTGCGTTCAGAGAGCGCAATGTTTGACGGATTTTCCTAGTGCTGATATGAGGCAGAAAAGGGTTGCCAGTGAAGGTGGTGTAGAAAAATGGGATAAGGTGGAATTGATGGCAAACTGGGGAGCAAAAACCTCGGCTTAATCGTTTTGTTGACATACAAGACCACCAGAGAAATTGCAGACAGGTGGGAAGTTGGAAGGGTAGAAATTACGGGAAACTCCTTTGGCAAGGGACCAAAATGTTCAGCTACCCGTGGCGGATAAGACCAGGTTTTCGGCTTTACGGCGAACGAAGCGTTCTTTGGTTCCCTGAATTGTCGTCGAGCATCTGTCCCCAACTTGCACGAAGCGATGGTGGGAGAGGGGGGTGGGAGATCGGTGCCAGTGACGGAAGGCTGAACATTTCAGGCGTACAGCACGGTCACGTGCATGGTTAAACCACCCAGGGGATTTGGGTTTGCCGGATTTGGAAAAGTGCGGAATAAAAAGATGTATACCTTAAAGAACAACGTGGACGAAGTTGGTAACGGATTTGGAACCATCCGAAGAGAAACAGCAATCGTTCCAGGGATAAGCAGCTAGGAAATCACGGAAACCGTCCCAGTTGGCTCAGTTGTAGCGCCAGAATGTGTATCTCGAGATGGGTAGTGACTCGGAGTTTGAAAACCTAAGCGAAGTGTTCAGCTCAGCGCCCCAAAGGAGAGGTAGTAGATGAATGTGTCAACCAGTCCTGATTGTGATCGTTAAAATCTCCCAAGATGGGAACATGGCAGTTGGGGTCGGTAACCAACAATTGTTCAATGTTCGAAAATCCAAGATGGTAGATTCGCTATTGGGGGAACGATAAAGAACACAAAGGTAATGATTAAAGGAAGGAAGTCGGAGTTTCAGGCACAACAGCTGAAATTTACGATTGGAAAAGTCAAGATTTGGGATCCTGTAGGCGGCAACTGATTGGTGAATAAAAGCACAGATACCAGCTTTGGGTAGAAAGGAGGAATGGAGATTGTAGTCGGGGAATTGAAGGTGGGTGGTGTCTGACGAAGGGGAGATTTGTGTTTCGCTCGAAAAAGGGCAAGCGGAGAAGAAATATGGAGAAAGTGGTGTACAGAATCAATATTGCGGTTCAGTTCACGAATGTTGTTGAGGGTGATGAGTGCGTGTTTACAGACTGAGTGCATAGCGAGAGAGAGAGAGAGTACGTGAGCGTTCGTGATTTTGTTTGCCCATGTTTATGTTGTGAGCAAAACCGGCAACCATGATTCTGAAACTTGGAGGCTTCAATCAGGCTTCAATAGATCGGGGGACGTCAGAGCCGCCTAACACCGTAGCATGGGGATGAACGACGTAACTGTATGTTAGCATTATTCATATTAATCTGCGGTGTTGATTGCTTTGAACGAGTCGTTCACGCACGCTCTAAATTGGGGAAATGCCTATTTGTTTATCGAGTACCATATTCATTTGGAGATAATTGAACTACGGGTAGGGATGATATTTGAAAAGAGTTAGAGAGAGAGACTATGGTAGCATAGAAACAGTTACGAAATGAAAGCCAGTTACTCTCAGATCGAAGAAAGATGAAAGTGTTTGCATAATCATGAGGAAGGGGAAAGGTTGTTTATGGGCTTTTGCGCACAAGGCTGAGGCTTTATTGGCTAATATTAAACATTTCAACAAATCTCAGCATCAGAATGCTTTGACGTTGAGGATTAACTGGGAAGCAATGTCCATTGTCTAAAAAATGACGTGCCGCTGCACATGCTGGAAGCTTCCGTGTGCACTAAGCTCGGGATTGTCCACATGTGTTCACCCATTATGTTGAAAATTTGCATCGAGTAATAATGAACCTGACAGTAACATAACACATAGACGAAGACTGCTTCAGGTGGCGATCTTTGACATTTAAATGCATTAGGAAGTGCTTTAAGTCCAACAGTACACATTGTGCTCTCAATGAACAGAGGAGAAATAGAACTCTGTAGTTTTCTTCCTGATACTTGCAAACAATGGAGAAAGCTGTTTTCATTAATTTGGTCAACGGCTCTCGATCAGGCTTAAGTTCTACATTCGTTTGCGAAGATTTCTTTATGTCTCGAATCTAAAGTCATTTGAGAAGTTCGTGTGAGGAACGCGTTCAGCGTAGTTTGTGCCCCTTCCAAATTGACCAAGGTCTATTTCATCATCTGGCTGTTAAGTATTCTGTGAACTGACTAAACAGTGAGGTTGAGAATTGACTGTATATAATCAAACGCATACACTGTTTGCTTTTGAATTGGATCGATAGACGTTTTTCTCAGCCAGCTCGCCTTCTCGCTACAATCTGATATTCAATTTGATTATCCTTCCTATCTAAATTGGTTGATCGGTATGGTGAGGCACATCGTAGTTGGAGAAGCGAGTCTCTGTTAAAATCGTTTTAAGTTACGCGATTTCCTATTCAATGCTACGTCAACGTGAAAGGCGTAAGTGCTTGATCGAAAATGCAACAAGATATGTCGAGGATATTGCTAGATGTTAAGTACATTCGCCCAAATATGCAAGTTAAAATTTTCTATCGAAACAAGACTGAGTACGATCGACTGTCAGATTCTTTATGCCGGCAGCGAGACTATATCACGTGTATTTGATTTCCCATGTCATCATCATTTGAGAAAAAATAAACATTATCATTTTATTTTTCGATTTCAACTACGATTCCATATTCACTCGTCGTGTTTTATCTGTTTGAAGAGGAATTCCATGGTAAGAACAATCCATATGCAACTTCACTTTGGTAAACAGCACTGCGCATTATTCTACCTAAGGGAAAACAATGATGATGGTTTTGTCTAAATGAC